CAATCAATGTGACAAAAATTTTCCTGAATCTGGAATAGGCAAAAAAGTAAACTTATAAACACAACCCTCTTTAGTATATGACTTACTATATTTTTTAATTAAAAAAACTCCCATGATAACACACCAAGAATAAAAATACATGTGATACCTGCATTTGCCTTCACTATTTCTTAACATCTCCAATCAAATCCATCACTATGTATTTTGGGGTGGTGGTCATTGTGGTCCAGCTGGTTAGAATGCTCACATTCCATAAGGGAGTGCCAGTCTGAGTCCCAGGCACTCTGTGCTTCTGCTGCAGCTTCCTGCTAATGCCTCCGAGCATGCAAGGCAGTGGCTGATAGCCCAAGTAGCTGAATTCCTACAACCCACTTGGGAGACCGGGACGGAGTTCCTGGCTCCTGGCTTTGACCTGACCCAGACCTGGCTGTTATGCCCATTTGGGGAGTAAACTACTAGACAGAAAATCTCTCACCCTGCTCCCTCCTTATCTCTCATTATAGCTCTGGCAACCAAACTGAATTTTGACTTAAACAAAAATGTTGGCATAGTAGTGCAGAGGCTTATGCCACCACCTGCAATGCCAGCATCCCATGAGTGTCCATTTGAGTCCTGGCTGCTGTTCTTCTGATCCTGCTCCCTGCTAACACTCCTAGGAAAAGAAGAAAGCCAGAGTGCTCAGGCCCCTGTCATCAACATTGTAGACCCAGATGGAGTTTCAGGCTCCTGGCTTCAGCCTGGACCAGCAATGACCACTGCAGCCATTTGGGGAAAGAACCAGCAGATGGAAGATCTATCTCTGTCTCTCTTTCTCTGTAATTCTGCCTTTCAAACAAATAAAATCTAATAAAAATAAATAAAAACAAGCATTTCAGAGTAAAACATTTTGGGGAACTTGAAAATAATTAAAAGGACCAGTGTTGTATCACAGCAAGGTGAGCTAAGTACCAGCTACTCCACTTCCAATCCAGCTTCCTGTTAATGTGCTTGGGAAAGGCAAGAGAACATGGCCCAAGTACTTGAGCCCTTGCTACCCACTAAGGAGACTAGGATGGAGTTCCTGACTCCAGGCTTCAGGCTGGCCCAGACCTGTCTTCATGAACCAGGAGATGGAAGATCTCTCTCTCTTTTTTTTTTTTAAAGACCTATTTATTTATTTGAAAGTCAGAGTTAGACAGAGGCAGAGAGAGAGAGAGAGAGAGAGAGAGAAGTCTTCCACCCGCTGGTTCACTCCCCAAATGGCTGCAACAGCTAGAGCTAGGCCAATCCGAAGCCAGGAGCCAGGAGCTTCTTTTGGGTCTCCCACACAGGGGTAGTGGCCTGAGCACTTGGGCCATCTTCTACTGCTTTTCGCAGGCCATAGTAAAGAGCTGGATCGGAAGTGGAGCAGCCGGGACTCAAACCAGTGCCCACATGTGATGCCAGCACTGCAGGCAGTGGCCTTACCTCTATGCCACAGCACCAGACCCATCTCTTTCACATAAATGAATAAATCTTTTAAAAAAGTAAAATAAAAAAATACAAAACTAAGTAACCCTAAGGTCAAAGTGGCTACCTTCTATTTATCACATAAAATATGTATTTAATACTTTAAAAAAATACCTCTACCAACAACAAAAACAATCTGCATGGACAATGATTTAAAAAAAAAACAAAAAACTGCAAGGCTGGCATTGTGCATTGTGGTGTAGCAGGTAAAATTACCGCCTGCAACTCCAACATCCCATCTGAGCATCAGTTTATACCTGGACTGCTCCACTTGTAACCCAGCTCCCTGCTAATGGCCTGGGGAAAGCAGCAGAAGATGGCGCAAGTGTGTGGGCCCCTGCTACTAACATGGGAGACCTGGATGAAGTTTCTAGCTTTGGCCTGGCCCAGTCCTGGTTGTTGTGGGCACTTGGGGAGTGAACCAGAAGATGGAAGATCGATCTCTCTCTCTCTCTCTCTGTAACTCTGGCTTTCAAAATAAACAAATCTTTAAAAAAGAAGCAGCGGCAGCAGCAACAGTAACAGCAGGTGTTCAAAATAAAAGGATAAGGTAATTTTTGTTTGTTTTACCTTAACATGAAGAACTTTGCAAATTTACAAACCTTGTCCTTCTTTCAACCTTCTCCACATATGGTCTATTTTAGTCTATTTTATCTTATGTCCTACCTTCACCACAAGGAATTTCCATCTTGGCACCCCAAAACTTAGCATTGTGAAAAATCAAGATACACATTTAAGAAGCCCATATTCTCCTACAACTCTTTCAAGTGCATCTTTCAAGTGCACTCCACTTCAACCAGATCACCACTCAGAAAACTGGGAAGCCCTTAGCATGTGCTTATTCATTCATTGCATACACCTGTGCACTGCTCACACATTTCTCTTCCTCAGAAAGCAAGTATCATTTCGGACATCAAAATTCCCCACGCTGCCTCCCTTACCCATCCTGCCTTTACAAGGCTGACACAGTGGACTGCAGCTAACTCTCTCTCTAGATGTTACCCCAAGAAACCAAACTAGCAGAAAGATGAGTTAACAAGGTTTCTCAGGAAGATCAGGAACTAGATCAACAACAGGGAAGTAGCTTACCACTGTCTCCCAACAGCCCCTACTTCATCATGCTTCAACACCTCCCAAACACATCTCTATAAAACACTCACTTTTTCCCTAAAGCAATCTGATTTATGAATCAAAGCTTTTCCTCTTTTCCACCATCTTTCAGGCAGAAAGCTCTAACCTCCAACAAGAGAGTAAGTAAAAAGCAGAAATGATGAGGGAGCAGGAAATGATCTCTCCCTTCCACCCCTTTCCCATACCCACTCTCCAAAGAGTCAGTTAAGGACATCTTTCTCTAATCCTCCAGTATTTTCTCTCCTCCCCCTAGGAGATGTTACAGGTACCAGCTATACTCTAGTTCACCACATAAATACTTTGCAATCCTATCTCCTTAAAATAATTATTATGGGGGCCAGCGCTGTGGCGTAGCGGGTAAAACACTGCTCCCTACAGTGCCAGAATCCTGTATGGGTGCAGGTTCAAGTTCCGGCTGCTCCACTTCCGCTCCAGCTCTGCTATGGTCTGGGAAAGCAGCAGAAGATGGCCCAAAGTCCTTGGGCCACTGCACTTGCACTGGAGACCCAGAGAAAGTTCCTGGCTCTTGGCTTCGGATAGGCGCAGCTCCAGCCGTTGCAGCCACCTGGGGAGTGAACTAGTGGATGGAAGATCTCTCTTTCTCTGCCTCTCTGTAACTCAAATAAATAAATAAATATTTAAAAAAATATATATTATAGGCCAGCACGCCGCGGCTCACTAGGCTAATCCTCCGCCTGAGGCACTGGCACACCGGGTTCTAGTCCCAGTTGGGGCGCCGGTTCTGTCCCAGTTGCTCCTCTTCCAGTCCAGCTCTCTGCTGTGGGCAGGGAGGGCAGTGGAGGATGGCCTAGGTCCTTGGGCCCTGCACCCGCATGGGAGACCAGGAGGAAGCACCTGGCTCCTGGCTTCAGATCGATGCAGTGCACTGGCCCCAGCGCGCCGGCTGTGGCAGCCACTTGGGGGGTGAACCAACGGAAAAAGGAAGACCTTTCTCTCTCCCTCTCTCTCTAACTCTGCATGTCAAAGGAAATATATATATATATATATAAAAAATAGAGGCAGGCATCTGGCGCACCTTGGGATACTTGCATTCCCTGTGCCTACATCCCATAATGGTGTGCCTGGATTTGAATCCCAGCTCTAACCCTGATTCCAGCTTCCTGCTAATGTGCACCCTGGGAAGCAGCAGGTGATGGCTCAAGGAGTTGGGTTCCTGCCACCCTTGCGGAAGACCCATAATGAGTTTGGGCTCCTGGCTTCAGCCTGACCCAGCCCTGGTTGTTGCAGGCATTTGTGGAGAGAACCAGTGAATCAGAGATCATTGTCTCTCTTTCACACGCACACAAAAAGTTGGTACTTCTACTATCCCTCACAAGCCCCCCAACGATATTTCTATGCCTAATACAATCCAACATATTTTGTACGGAGAGCTCTCTCCTTTCAGTTCACCAACAATAATTCTATATCCAATTACCTTCAGTCATCCTCTCCACCTTTCAACAACATAGACAACCCTTCTTTCCGTTACCCCTTTTATTCCTCCAATACCTGTATCTAAAAAACCCCTAGACGCTGTAGGTATACCCCTTTCAACCCCTCCACCAATAATAGCGCAATCAGCATACCCCTTTCAAACTTCAAATTTCCCAACCTCAAGTGGCAGGTACCTAAGAATCTTCAGTTCTCCTAACATTATCAACTCCTCCACAATACTTTAAAATCTCTTAAGATCCCGCCCTCATGTTATCAGCTCCCTCCAAATTTCTAGAACCCTTCAATGCCTACATATCCCTTTCAGTCACTCCAGAACATTTTTCAAATCCTTCAATATCCCTGAACCCTGGGAGCTCACCAAGAACCGCTCTACAGCCTCAGGTCCCTGCTATCCATTTCCTGCCCCAATATTCTGAAAAGGCCTTTGATACTCTGCTTCTAGACCTTTTAGCCCCGGATTCATACTACCTGTAAGCCCTCGCTGTCCAACTACTCCCTTCAAGATCTCAAAATTCACATTTAAAAATCCCTCGATAGCTCTGGTATCTTCCTAAGTGCTCCAACGAGCACTATTTTCAAATTCCCTCACTCTCCCTGCTACCCCCTCTAGCACTCGAAAGGTATATTTAAAAAGCCCTCGCTGTCCTTGCCCCCAGTCCCACAACAACGCCGCCCGAACGCCCCCCGGCTCTCCCCGTCCCTCCCGCCCGGCGTCTCTCTCCCTCCCGGCGTCTCCCTCCCTCCCTCGCTCTCTCTCATCCCCCCCCCCCCCAATGGTGATAGTACTACAGAGAATACGTCGCCGGGACCTCCCGACTGCTGCCCTGCCACACTGCCCCCCCCAACACGCCGCTTCCCCTCCCCCCACGCCCCCGCGGCCCCCCAACGCCCACGTTCGCCGCCCCGGCCCACCCCAGCTCACTCACATCGGCTCCAGTAACTTGGCCAGCCAAGACTTGAGGGCATCCACATCCTCTATGAGCATGGTGCAGTGAGGGCGGGCTCGGCCGCCGCTCTTCTTCAGGCCTGCCGTGGGTCTCCGCTCGCCGTCTCCTCACACTCCCTTCACAGCTCCCGGTGCCCCAGCCCACCGGGCATCTCAAGAGACTTCAACCTACTCCCCCGGCCGGGGCCTAACAGGAACTAACCCAAGAGCCCTCACTCAACCTAGCCCGAAGCTGACAGAGGCGGGAGATAACAGCGAGTGGCGGGCGTAAGAGCCAATAGGAGGTAGAGGGCCGTGCGCGCAACACCAATGAAAAGGCTCGTTCGCCCCGCCGGCCGGTCGTACCCAGTTAGGTAGGAGGGATATAGCAAGGTAGGTGGAGAGCTTAAGCGAACTCCTGGTGCAAGATGGTATCTTGGAGAAGGTACTGAGCCTCTTAAAGGGGCCGCGGCGCCTTCTTTGAGCACGCCGCCGCCCGCCGCGGAATACCGGTCTCTGCTGCCGTGAGTGCCTGGGGGAACCCGGAGAGCCCCTCAGCCTGGTTCCTTCCTCTCATTTTTCCTGGAAACACACACTCGTGTCCCGAAATGACTCAGCTGTAGTAAATCTGCAACACAACGTGCGATGCATCCACGTTCGACACTTCGCACAGAATACAAAATCTTACTTTTTTCCTTACACACTCATTTTGACCGGCGCTCACGCTTGGATTTTTCGCTGCTGTCACGCAGAATGTTTCTGACAACCGTGCCTTGGAATCTGATACTCGTCGTTTTTAAAACGTGGCGCACGGATGGAAAAGGCTGAGGCCATTACAATTTTACTAGCATTCTCAATAAGCGCTCTGTTTAGGCAGGAAAACGATTCCAATTTTTTAAAAACTCTTTTCGTTGCATATCTAAAATTCATTGAGGGGGAGAATTTTAATGAGCATAAAATGTTTTTTTAAAAAAATAGTTAAAAGACATATTGCAATTATCGGAATAAGCAACTTAGTTTGTAGTAGATAAGAAATTTCCTATGGAGTTTCGAAACCACTGGCTTAGCAGTGGTGTTGGAATGTTTCTTGAATGAGAAATACTGAGCCCCTGCTATTTGCCAGCACCGGAGAAGGCACTAGGAGTCCAACAGTGATTAAGGAAACCGAATGGCTCCTTTTAGGAAGCTGAAGTTTATGAGGTTATGCACTGTAATAAAAACATTTTGGAAAATACCTGATGAGCAAACACCCCATATAAAAGAGTTGGATCAACCCAAAATGAGCAGATATACTACCATACAGTCGTACAGCAAGTGTAAGCAAACTTTTTGCTGTAAGTGGTCTATATAGCAAATATTTTCGGTTTTGTGGGCCTTGAAGTTTCTGAGACAACTACTCAATATGCAGTGTTGTGGCACGAAACTGGCCATGCACAATATGTAAACAAATGATTGTGCCTGCATTCCAATAACACTTATATGCACATTACGTGAAATTTTCAACTTTATATTACTTTCACATGTCATTAAATACCACTCTTTAAATTTTTTTCAGCCATTTAAAACTGTAAACGCCGAGCTGGGCTTCATACTGCAGCAGGTTAAGCCACCCTGGAGATCTTGGCGTCAGCAGCCCCATCTCAGAGCAGTGCCAGCTGGGGACCAGGCACCTTCACTTCCAGCCCAACTTCCTGCTAATGCACCCTGGGAGGCAGCACATGATCCCATAAGTGCTTGGGCACCTGCCACCTGTCGCTCCCCCTCTTCGTGGAGGAACGACACAGGACCCTGCGCTGTTCTTTCGTCTGCTCGGCCCTCCCCGGGTTTGCTGCTGGTTCTTCCCGGGTTGGCTACTATCCCTTCCACCTCCGTGGAAGGGCAGTTCCCCCTGGCCGCATTCCCCACTTCCGCAGGGGAGCGGCACACCGCCGGCCGGCTTTTCTCGGGGGCTGCACGGGTTCCCTTAGATGTTCCCCATAGATGTTCCTGGTGCATGCCGTCTCTCTCCTCCTTTATAGTCCTCCTCCGCCAATCCCAACTCGGCTGCCCACACGCCGAGCACGCTGCTCTCCAATCAGGAGCAAGTCCTACAGTTAATTGGTTGAACTGGAGGCAGCTGTGCGGAAGCTGTTTACTTCTCTCCCAGCACCATATTGTGGGAGAGCAGATGCATAGAATAAGTCTTAATTCGAGTAACTTAGTCTAGTCCGGATTGCTCCCCACAGCCACCCACGTGGGAGTCCTGGATGGAATCGTGTTCTCCTGGTTTCAGCCTGGCCTTGCTCTGACTGTTGTGGACATTTGGTGAGTGAACCAGCAGCTGGAAGAGAGCCCCTCTCTCTCTCTTTCTCTCCCTCCTTCTCTCTCTCTCTTTCTGTCTGTGTGTGTGTGTGATACTCTGCTTTCCAAGTACATGAAAATAAATAAATATTTTTTTAAATGTAAAAGCTGTTGTCATCTCACAGATGTACAAAAAACAGTGCCAGCAGGGGGTTTGGCTTGCTAGGTAGAGTCTGCAGGCTTCTCAACATAGAGTGACAGAAAGCAGAGAGCACTCAAAAATCCGCTAGTGAATGCTTGTCACTGACACCCTCTCAACTTTGCAGATGGGGATAAAATTCCAGAGAATGAAACCATGAAACTGTGGCAGGTCTATAGAAGGAGCAGAAGTAGTGCCCAGAGCTTCTGAAAGCAAACTCAGAGCTTTCTCAGATCCACCTGTTGCCTCTTCTCCCCTTTCTCTTCCTCCCTTCCTTCCTTTATGCTTATCCACATTTTCCCTCCCCTACTTTCCACAAAGAAGATGAAGTCACCCCAAGTAACAAAAATATAAAGTGAAATGTAAGAATGAATTGGCTGGAGGGCCAGCACCTGTGGTGCCAACATCCCATATGGGCAACCTCCTCTTCAATCCAGCTCCCTGCTTATGTGCCTGGGAATGCAGCAGAAGATGGCCCAAGCCCCTGGGCCCCTGCATCCATGTGGGAGAACTGGAAAAAGCTCCTGGTTCCTGGCTTCAGATTGGCCCAGCTCCAGCCATTGCCATTATGTCCATCTGGGGAGTGAACCAGCAGATCAAAGATCTTTGTCTCTGCCTTCCTCTCTCTCTCTCTCTCTCTCTCTCTGTAACTCGGACTTTCAAATAAACAAATAAATCTTTAAAAAATATGAACTATGTGGTTCATTAAAAATTCATTCAACAAACATGTGTTGTCATGGTTTGAAGGGGATATAACTCCCAAACTCAGGCAGACTTTTGAAGTTTAGGATCCAGAATCTTGTGTTAGTAGCACTAAGAGATTGGAAGCTTAATCCGATTATGGTGTTTAGCAGATGGGCCTAGTAGCAGGTCCTTACGTCACTGGACATGCCCTTGGAAAGTAGCTCTTCAGAGAAGGCTGGGTATAGAAGGCTGAGTCGGGTCTCACTGCCATCTCACTGCTTTCTGGCTCGCTGTGTGATTTTTCCTGCACACGTGTTCCAACATTACCAGGTGGCCAAACCAATGGTACCCATCCACTTGCCTTGTACACCTCCAAAACTATGAGCAAAAACAAATCTCTTGCCGGCGCCGTGGCTCAATAGGCTAATCCTCCACCTTGTGGCGCCGGCACACCGGGTTCTAGTCCCGGTTGGGGCGCCGGATTCTGTCCCGGTTGCCCCTCTTCCAGGCCAGCTCTCTGCTATGGCCAGGGAGTGCAGTGGAGGATGGCCCAGGTGCTTGGGCCCTGAACCCCATGGGAGACCAGGAAAAGCACCTGGATCCTGGCTCCTGCCATCGGATCAGCGCGGTGCGCCGGCTGCAGCGGCGGCCACTGGAGGGTGAACCAACGGCAAAGGAAGACCTTTCTCTCTGTCTCTCTCTCTCACTGTCCACTCTGCCTGTCAAAAATAAAAAAAAAATAAATAAATAAAATAAAAAAAAATAAAAAACAAATCTCTTTCTTCATCAGTAACTTGTCCTAGCTACCTCCTTGTAGTAACAAAAAGCTAACTAATACCTTTGTTGATCTCTGTCAGTCCTTGTTAGTCACTGTTTTTGGATGTGATTTTAAATAAATTTTCTTTCCTTGTTAAGGGGGATATTAAGGTGGATACTTAATAAAGATGGCCTTAGAGTTCTTTTAGTTTTTTATCTTTGTAAGAAGAAACATTTAGCCAGCGCCGCGGCTCACTAGGCTAATCCTCCGCCTGCGGCGCCAGCACCCCGGGTTCTAGTCCCAGTCGGGGCGCCGGATTCTGTCCCGGTTGCCCCTCTTCCAGGCCAGCTCTGCTGTGGCCAGGGAGTGCAGTGGAGGATGGCCCAAGTGCTTGGGCCCTGCACCCACGTGGGAAACCAGGAGAAGCACCTGGCTCCTGCCATCAGATCAGCGCGGTGCGCAGGCCACAGCACACCAGCCGCAGCGGCCATTGGAGGGTGAACCAATGGCAAAGGAAGAGGAAGACCTTTCTCTCTGTCTCTCTCTCTCACTGTCCACTCTGCCTGTCAAAAAAAAAAAAAAAAAAAAAAAAAAGAAGAAGCAGAAACATTTATTTAAGAAAAGGGAGATTATTGGGCCAATGATGTGGTGCCGCAGGTGAAGCCACTGCTGTGACGCTGGCACCCCACAGCTGAGTGCTGGTTTGGGTCCTGGCTACTGTGCTCCCCATCCAGCTTCCTGCTGATGCACTTGAGACGGCAGCAGCAGATGGCCGAAGTGCTGGGCCGCTGGGCCCCTGCCACGCTGGGGAAGACAAAGATGGAGCTCCTGGCTCCTGGCCCTTGGCCTGGTCTGAACCTGGCTATTATGGCCATTTGGGGAATGAACCTGTCTCTCCCTCTCTCTGTCACTCTGTCTTTCAAATAAATACATAAGTAAATCTTTAAAAGAAAAGGGAGATTATTAATAAGGGACACTAAAAAGAGAGTGACTGGAAGAACAGACATCAAAACCATCTCCATTAAAACCAAGTTCTGTATCTTGATGTATTAGCTTTTCCTCTTCCTAACTAAAAATACCTGAGAGAAGCTATCTAGGCAGGAAGTTTATTTTGGCTTATAGTTTGGGGGTGCATGACCCAAGATCAGGTGGCTCCATTGGTTCAAGCATCTAGAAAGACCAGAGGGTATCAGACGGATGATCACATGGTGAGCCAGGAAGAAGAGAGACACAGCATCCTCTTCTTCTACCCTCTCCATGGCTTCTAATCACAAAACCATCAGGATTCAGTCATGGGGCTCCACCCTAGCAG